AGGTAAACCTTTGCTCAGGTGGGAAACTGAGGAAGGAGAGAGGTGGGCTAGCCACAGCAGGCTTAGCCCAAGATGGGGGGCCTCATTGGCTGGGGGTTAGGGTCGGGGGGATGACAGAGAAAGGAACCCTCTTGTGATGCTTCTCAGAAACTTCCTGAAGTGGATGGGCCGGGTGAGGCCCTCTGGGTGTGCTCACACTTCACTACTTCCGGTGCTTGTCAGGCCCTCAGAGTGTTCCAGACCTCAAAGTGGGCCCTATCAACTCCGGAGTGAGGATGCCCGGCCCTCTCACTGTTCCTGAGAGGGAATGTTCAAGCACTGTGTCTTTTTCCACATGTTGGATCTCATATATCGACAGGTCCATAGAGAGCCAGGGGAGATGCCACTGCGGCCTCAGTCTTCCAGGGACCAGGCTTTGCTTCTCCCGGCTGGCACGCTCGGAGCTGCTGTCTGCCAGAAATGGCGGAGGGTGTAGCCTGGGGACCTGCTGCTTCCCAAATGAGATAATGTCCCTGTGAGGCTCCTCTAGAGCCAGGGGTGTGCTCACACAAGGTGTAGAGAGGCGACGCCTTTCCGAGGAAGCCTCCCCCCTCAGATTAACCCCCTCTTCCTCCCTTCCCTGACCACCCCCAACACCCACTCAGACACCCCCTCCCTGAAGCTCCACCCCTTTCCCAGAAAGAAGTCATTTCTTCCTCTGTGTAGCATGTCCCCATCTTGTTCCGGTCCCTTGACTGTGCTCACACAAGCGCACATAGCCCGCTATCTATTAGAGCATGATATTCCGTACCTGCCCGGGGAAGGGAAGCCTATGCAAGCCCTGCCCATAGAAACAGCTCTGCCCTGCTTCTCAGCGGGAGAAAGGGGGAGAGGAGGAGGAGAACGGGGAGGAGGGGGAAGAGGAGGAAGAGGAGAATGGAGGGGACAAGCAGGGGAGGAAGAAAGATGTGTGATGGTTGGCCACTGATACCAATGGATGGAAGAATAAATATAAAGTTAGATGGACCCCATGGTGTCGCCTTCAAAGGAGAAGGCCAGGCTAATTTACAGCTTAGCAGAGGCAGGGGTCCTGAAGGGCATTCTTGGCTACAGAAGTGATGCTGCTGAGTTGGCTGAAGTGGGCTTTCTAAGAAGAAACGGGCTAAGTCTCTCTCTGAGAAGACTCGGGTGGGGGCAAGTTTACTCTCGAGGGCAGAAGGCCTGTGGTAAGATGGGACCCGCTGTCACGAAGCCATCACCCTCCCTACCTCATCCCCTTGTACCCCCGACTATAACAGCAGGTAGGCTAGGCTAGGTGCCGAGCCACTCAGAGAGATGGGGGTGCAGTTCACCTTCACAGGAACCCTAAAGCTGAGGGACACTTGCGCTAGCATGAAGGAAAGGAACACGTTTGGAGACCCCGGGGAAAAGCCACCTGTCTGTCATGGAGTGCTCCCAGGGCTGGTCTGAAAGCTCCTCCTCTCTGAGGAGCACACAGACTCAGGACATCGGGACTGGTCATGGTTAGTCTGCCGGGAGACCGGTGCCCAGAGAGAGCTAATACCTTCTTCAAGACCACACAGCCAAGAAGCAGTGGAAGCAGGAAGAGACCAGGTCTCCTAACACCCAGCCTAGGTTTGTCCATCGCCGCGTCAGCTCTGAAGAAGGACCCATTCGGTGCCCATGCTCCCTTCTCAGAGCCCTGTCACGAGCTGGCTCACAGGGAGCAGCCCACTCCTGGGCCTTTGACCTCGGCTCTTGCTCTACAGTCATCACTGTGCCCTGCCCTCGGGAGGTGCTCACAGGCCTAGGAGATGCCAGGGAAGGGACTCCTTGGCCACTCCGGCACCACACCCCTGTGCCCCGAGGGGTCGTAGTGGGCAGCGCTGGAATGTTGAGAGTTCTTGGGTGGGGATTGTGTAATATTGATGGTGTTGCTACAATGAAATACTCAAGGAAAGCACCTTGAGAAAGGGAGGATTTATTCTAGCTCAACAGTGTGAGGGTACAGCCCCATCATGGTGGCGGGAGCCTGAAGCAGCCTGTCATGTTACACCCACAGTCGGGAGGCAGAGTGCAAGGAACGCTGGCCCTCATCTCACTTTCTCCTTCCCCCGTGGTTCAGAATGCCAGCCTAGGGGATGGTGCCGCCCATAGTTAGAGTGGCTCTTCCCACCTCAATTATCGTAACCTAGATAATCCCTTACGTCCAGAGATTTGTCTCCAAGGTGATCCGAGGTCCTCTCTGGGTGGCCTTCAGTATGGACCATGACAGTGATGCCACGCATGTTCTCTTGCTCTAGAACTCATTGAGGTTTTAGTAGCACCACCCAGCTCTGGGGGTGAGGCTGGGTTTTACACAGAAGGATGACCACACGTCCTGGTCACCCACCAAGGCCTCCATCTTTCTGATGTCTAATGTGTCCAGAAGCTCCAGCCTGTCGCCAAGTCTCCGCGGCACCAACAAGCGGAGGGAGAGCCAAGCCTGAATAGTGCAAAATATGAACTGACGGTTCTCCTTAATTCTTCCCCTTGGCTTGGGAATGCAAAATATTATCATTTTTGCCTGGAGATTTCCCTTCCCAGTTGTGTTCAGCCAACACTCAGATGAGCTTGCATTCTTCCCGCTGTCTGGTCTCCAATTGTTTGCAGAGATCCGAGGCAGATGCCCGCTCGCTGACAGCTGGAAGTCAGCTGTGTGTGTGCCCCCAGAGAACCACTAACATGTGTGGGAGCATACCTACGATGTGGGATTGAATCTTCTCATGCCGGGGAACCTGGGGCACAGAGCAGCAGAAATAGTCTCCACGGACACACAGCCAAATTATGACAAAGCTGAGATTAGAACTCAGATGGCCCGCCCCACCCTATCCACACGTCAGACTCCACTGACTTACAAACAACTTTGTTGGCCCACTCAGCATGGCTGAGGACCCTGACGACCTTGCGTCTTATCTAGGCAAGAATTCCTACTCCCCAGAATAGACACCAAGCAGACATTCTTCCAGAGTGAAGATCTGCAGAGAAAGTCACCCTGAGGAAGTGGCAGAGAATAAACTGGGGAGCTGGCTCCATGGGTAAAGTATTTGCCTCACAAGCATGAGGACCTGAGCTCGAATCCCCAGAAGCCATGTAAAGAGCCAGATGTGGCAGTGGTGTGTGTTTGTAATCCCAGCAATAGTGAGTACGGGAGATAGAGACAGGGTGATGCACAGAGCTCACTGGCCAGCTTCCCTAACCTCCCTGGTGACATTTCAAGCCAAGAAGAGACTCTGCCTCAAAGGTAGAAGGCAACTGAGAAACAACATATGGCCCCCACATGCACTCACACCTATGTACATGTATGCACTGAGACACACATGTATATGCACATTCACACACACATACATAAAGAATAAAGAGGGGCATGCAGAAAGGCTGGTAACTTGGGGGAAGTCTCACCCTCTCTGTGCTGACTTTGCTCACTTGGAACCAGGGTCTTAAACCTGGTAAGAACAGCCCACAAAGTGCTTCCCAAGAATCCCTGTGTTCTGCCGAAGAGGCTTAGGTCTGCCATGAGGAGTAGGAACCGCCCCTTGCCCTCACTGTCAACATCAGCCTCTGCTGTTGAACCTTAGTGAAGCAAGCGCTTTACTGAGCCAGTCCCTTGGCTCTTACAGGAGATGGTGGTTGCTCTCCCCTAAGATCCCTGGGAAGCTCTTTGGGAGAGTGAGGGGAGATGGTGGGGATAGACCATCACAGTGTGGACACTCAACACACATGCCGTAAGCTACCATGGAACACTGGGTTGACAGTAGCCACGGTCACACTGGGCCATATCCCTCAGCCCTGGAGACCTGGTGGTAAGCAGTGACTCCACGGGAGCCTTCACCAGCTGAGTTTGAGAACTGAGCTCCCGCTGATGTTCAGGTCTGCAGCTCTGGTCTCGTGGGACCAACTGGTCATTTTCAAAAGCCAAATAAGAATCTGAGACAGAGCAGGGCTGCCATCAGCCACAGAGTGAGAGCTGTCAAGGAACTGTGGATTCACCCTCTGTCACCCGAATTGGGGCAGAAGAGTGGCACATGGCTCAGCCAGCCTCCTGGCATCTCTGCAGCCAGCCTACTGATTCCCATCAAAAACAACTTTTCTGTTTTGTTTTGGTTTTGTTTATATCTGAGGTCAACAATCCCTGAGAAGGGTTATACCCACCCCACCCCCATCACCAACAGAGAAAGCCATGGATTTCAGAAAAACCAGAGATTGGTGAGAGCCAAGGTCAGAGGGACAGGCTCAACACTGTCTTTAGGAAATCCACCCTCTGGTTAGTTTGGTTGAGTAGAAGCATGCAGTAACTGGATTCTGGTAACGCAAATGTCTCTGTTCTGTGGCCAGACTTTATTCCTCTTCCCCTGGGAGACTGGAGGGTAAGAGGGAGGCCCAGCCAGTTCTAGATAGAACTCCACGAAGGACACTGTGCTCTGACCCTAGGGTGAGACCTGAGGGAGAGGGAGACCCCCTTCTCTGCGAATAACCTCATTCCTCAGCCCTCCAAGTCTGGCCCCTAAAAAGGGTGACCCTGTCTCAGCTCCCAAGCTCTCTGATCTCATCCCAGCTCACCTGCTGAGCAGATTCCCACAGGTTAACCTCACAGAGGTGTATGACTTCTATCTCACAGGACTGGTGTGAAATCTAGGTGCTCAGCGTAAACGTCATGGGTGTTGCTAGCATCCTGGTCTCTACTGTTCAGTCCACCACTATGCACAAGCAAGACCTTGACTCCAAGCTCTAAGGCACCTACCGCCATGAAAGAACTGGTCCTCCATTTAAACTTGGCCTCCTGCATTGAGGCCATTTCCCATCAGACTCTGGATCCTTCCGTGTAGAATGGTCAATCACCGCACACAGGGGCTCCTCAAAGACAGAGGCTTCACAGCCCAGTCTCTCCGAGACAGACAGAGCAGCCAGAAGGCCCAGACACACCCCTGGGCAATGCCTGCACCCCCCAGACTCACCCGTTTCTCTTCTCTGCTCCCACTCAGGATTCACAGACACCTTCAACATGGATACCAGGAATCCCCGGGTTATTGCCGGTCCCAGTGCTGCCTTCTTTGGCTACACAGTCCAGCAGCATGACATCAGTGGCAAGAAGTGGTGAGTGAGAGCTGGGGACACCCCCCCCCAACCCAGGGCTGTTGATAGCCAGTGCTCTCCTTCCTACCCCTGACTCTCCCAGGCTCCCCGATTCTGTGAATTGACTCTTCATCCCAGCAGGTCGAAATCTGGTAGGCTGTGCACCTGAGACCTTGACCATCCAATGTTATGGGCTCTTCATCATCTCATATGTGAAATGGGGGGGGGGGTCCCCTTCACAGTTCAACTCCGTTCCTCTCCCTGGCAGGCACTCGGCAGATAGAAGGGGAACACTTAACACTTTTCAGTACTCTCAGACCTCCCCAGTGAATGCTGGCCACAGATGCCTCACACCTTCCTCTTCCCACTCTGACCCCTGCCTGGCCTCCCACCTCTGACCTTTCCCCTCCCCTCCCCTTCTGCTCAGCACTCTCTCCAAATGGCACCATTCACTGGTCAGTTCTCTAGACCTTCCTGTAGACCCTCCACCCTCCTGTGATGCCCTCTCCTGCACCCCGCCTCCCAACCAGACAACCCTCCTCTCCCTCTTCCCTCCTCCCCCTCCACTGCTGCCTCTTCCTCCTCCTCTTCTCATTTCCCTCCTTCTCTTCCTCCTCTTTCTCCTCCACCATTTCTTCCTACTCCTTCCTCTTCCTCCTCCCAGTCCTCCCTTCCTCCTCCTCTTCTTCCTCCCCCTCTTCTCACTCCCTACATCCTCATTTCTTTTTCTTTGTCTTATTTTTTATCTTTCCGTTTAGGTCTAGCTTTCATACTGGTGTGATTATCTTGGGTGTACCAGCCCATTGAACTTTCCCATACATCTGCATAAACAATCAGCTTCCAATACAGACGTAGACCACACAAGTACCCAAAGGCTCTTTTGCACCCCTCCCCAGTCAGCGCCGCTCCAGATAGCCATGATCTGACTCCTGTCACCATAGGCTTATTAAGCCAGGTTGTGTGTGTGTGTGTGTGTGTGTGTGTGTGTGTGTGTGTGTGTGTGTGTGATTCTACAGGCACTCGTTTCTACCTGGTCTTTTAAATTCAGCACCGTCTTTGAGGTTTACCACATCGTCCTGAGTATTTCACCTCGTGCCTTTTCATTGCTTGTGGAATTCCATTGTATCACTATGTCACTCTTGGTTTATTTTGATACTGATGGATACTGGAACTGTTTCTGATTTGCGCTGCTCTAGTGGGGCCATTGCTTCGGTCCTTTTGCTGCTAGGCACGTCCTTTGGTGAACATCTGTCATCCTTTTTGCCGGGCACACATGGTTAGAGATAAAGGGTAGGTATATGGTTGACGTCAGGGGGATCTGCCAAGCATTTTCTCGCCCCCACCCAAGTGGTTTACTATTCAAACTCTCTAGTAAAATAAGAGCGTCCCAGTCATCCCACATCCTCACTACCATGGGTATTATTATCTGAATTTTAGGCATTCCAACTGCACATAGTGCTGGTGCGTTGTAGATTGAGTAGTTAGCTTTTCTGTTTACTAGCAGTATTGAACAACTGTTCATAAAGTTGGTGGACACCCTGACATCGTACTTAATGAAGTTTCTGGTCAAGTCTAACTCGAGCTGCCAGGCTTGCTCAGCAAGCATCTTCACCCACCTAGCATCTCACCCTGTCCTCGCCTGTGGCTCTTTTGGGTTTTCTAAGCATTTGGTCCCATCATCTCACACTTTGTTTCTTCTTTCCAATCCTTACTCCTCTGTTTATTTTCTGTCTTGTCGTGGTGGCTGGAGCCGTCAGTTCAAGGTTGATTAGAAGAGGTGACACCGAACATTCCTAGTTTGTTTTTCGTGGAGGAAGTTTTGAATATCGTATAAGGAACTAAGTTGGTGGCTGTGGTTTATTTGTTTGTTGATTGTAGATACCACCAGGTTAAAGAAATGTTCATCTAGTCCCAGTTTGCTTGTTTTTTAGACAGGGTCTCATGTAGCCCAGGCTGGCCTCAAACTGGTTATACGCAAGGATGGCCTGGTCCTCCTGCCTCCACTTCTTGAGTGCTGGGATTACAGGCACATCCCACCAGGCCTGGTTTATGTGGTGCTGGAAATCAAACCTAGGATTTCATGTGTGCTAGGCAAGCACTCTACCAACTGAAGCTGTATTCCTAGCTCCCTGACACTGGTTGCTTTTTTGTTTTTGTTTTTAAAACATTTTCAGCAAGTAAGTATTCAATTTGATCAGGCACTTTCCTTGTAAGAATTGAGACAATTTTTCCATATTCTGTTAGTATTTTGCTGATGGGCTGAGGTTTTTTAACTTGGGGTTTTTTGATTTGGTCTTTGTCTTTTCCTTCTTTTTTTCCTTTTTATTCTTTTCTTTTTTTGTAATTTGAATTAAAACTTGCACTGTTGGGCTAACACTCAATTTGTTCACTCCAAGACTTCCCAGCTGTCTTTAGAAAGTTTGTTTCTGCTCTGTCTCGTGAAGTAGATTGGCTTGTTCACTTTCTTGTCTGTACTGTCCATCATATATTATACGCCATCTCCGTTATTCCGGCTCCAGAACTATGATGAAAATGTCCTCACTTCTGCCCCATGGATACTCAGAAGTCCTCCAGGGTGACATTTGGGGTTTTCTTTGTGGATAGACTTCCATTCTTTTTAATAAAATTTTTTTTTCATATAATACATTTTAGTCATGATTTCCCCTCCCCCAACTCTTCCCAGACCCTCTCCACCTTCCTACCCACCTAAATTCATGTTCGTTCATTCATTCATTCATTCATTCATTCTCTCTCTCTTTCTCTCTCTCTTAAAAAAATCAAAACAAACAAAAAGCCAATAAGACAAAAAAAAATGCCAAAACAAAAAGCACACACACAAAACCCACAAAATTTGTTTCATATTGGCCAAGTATTTCTGGGTGTGGAGCCTACCCTGGAGTGTTGTTAATAAACCCAGAGATACTCCATTGGAGAAAACTGACTTTCCCTTTCCCAGCTGGTGTCAAGTGTAAATAACTCCTTGATTAGAGATGGGGCTTTGCGTCCACTTCCCCTCTTCCGTGCTGGGATTCTGTCCAGTGTGAGCCTGTGTGGGTCCCGTGGGTGCTGTCACAGTTTCTGTGAGAGCATGTGTGCTCAGTCTGGTTATACCTGGAAGACTTTGCCTGGAGTCATCTGCCACCTCTGCCTCTTACAATCTTTTCACCTTCTCTTTCTGAGTAGGACCCCCCACTCCGGCTTGTGGGGCAGGGTTTGATGAAGACATCCCATTCAGGACTGAGTGCTCCAAAGTCTCTCTGCACATTACTGGGGCCAGATTTTAAGTTGAGATCCAACTTTCTGGAGATAATAGGCCCTGCAGATTCCCATTTGCTGGTGTTAGTGTTGACAGTGTTTCTCCAGAGATCTGCCCATTTCATTCAAGTGTCACTGACAAAATATGAACCACAGGCCTCCTGCTTATATTTTCAATGTCTTTAAGTCCTATAGCATGTTCTCATTTTCATGCTTCTCCATGGTAATTAATGCTGTCTCCCTTAGTTACAATGTGTCTTGCTATAGGTGTACCAAATTCATTAAAATTTTATAAGGATCAATTTGGGGTTTTGAGGGTTTTTTAAGATTTATTTATTTTTCATGTATATTGATGTTTTGCCTGGCACTGGAGTTATAGACAGTTGTGAGCTGCCATGTAGGTGCTGGGAATTGAACCCAGGTCTTCTGGGAGAACAGCTAGTACTCTTAACGACTGAGTCATCTTTCTAGCCTCACATTGTATAAATCAAGATATGGTCTATTTTAGTAAATTCCCAGGTTCTTAATTCTTAATCAGTCTGTTCTGTTTTTTATTAGGTGTTTTTCTGCATGTCAGTTATATCAACGTGGCTGTTCAAATGTCTACAACTTCACTGTTTTCAGTCTGGAGGGTTTTTTGGAGGGTGGGAGAGTATTTTAGTCTGCTTGTTCTATCAGTTTCTGAAAGAGATGTAATAAAGTCTCCAGAGATCATTTGGAATTCATCATTTAGTTCCATCACCTTTGCTTTATATATCTTGTAATTGTTAATTAGGTGTTAATAATATAATTGTTAATTATATAAATTGTTATTAGGTGTACCAATTTAGCATTATAGCCTAATATTCTATTTCCACTCTGTTGCTGTGATAAAATACTCTAACCAGAAGCAACCTGGGGAGGAAAGAGTTTATCAGCTATGCTTCCGGGTCACGGTCGCTCAGAGGAGTCAGGGCAGGAACCAGAAGGCAGGACTGCTTACTAGTCCATACAGCACCACCTCCAACTGGAACTCAGTCACAGCCAAGCAAGTACAGCAGAAACCATGGGGTAATCCTGCTTCAATGATGCTTGGCGACTATCTTAGGCTTAAAGTTAGCTTCCTCATACAGCTGAGAACCACCAGCCTAGGGAATGGTGCCGCTCACAGTGAACTGGGCCCTCCTACATCAATTAACAATCAAGACAAGTCCCAAGTTGTGGCCACAGGTCGGTCAGTGTGATCTGGCAATGCTTCTGTTGAGACTCCCCTCCCAGGGGATTTTAGATGGTGCCAAACTGACAGTTAAAGATAACTATGGCAGGGCTGGAGAGATGGCTTATCAGTTAGGAGCACTGACTGCTCTTCCAGAGGACCCGGGTTCAATCCCCAGCACCCACATGGCAGCTCACAACTGTCTGTAACTCCAGTTCCAGGGGGTCCTCATACAGACATACACACAGGCAAAACACCAATGCACATAAAATAAAATAAAAATCAATTAAAAAAAGATGACTATGGCACCTAATACACCTTATGTTCTATCTTAATATCTTATATTATAATCATTGCAGTTTTTATGTGTATGGATATGTAATTGTCTGGACTACTGTGGGCACAATGGCCATCTTTTAGTAAATTCCGGTGTGCCCTTTTTCATGCCCTTGCTTTCAGCCTTTCTATAGCCTTACTTTTTTTTTTGAAGAGTTATTTTTATCTTTAATTATGTATATGCATGTGTGTCTGTGTGGGAGTATATACACTTGAGTATAATTTTCTGCAGAGG